CACTTTGACCGAAGACACTTTTTCCATATGATGTATGCAGAAATTCTTAAAAAATTTTACTATGCGCAATTATACGTACAAAAAAAAAGCAAAATTTCTACAATATAACAATTAATTTAATAGAGAGATTAATCACTTTTTATTCCAGTTGAACGAAAAATTATAAATGTTAAGATAGCTTTAGATGATTGTAAAAGAAATTTGATTCTTTCCTTTTTGCTATCCAACTGTATCTGTATTAAATTGACAAATAAATTCTAATTATACTTATATATTTGCCTTTAATTTAAATTTGTATTAATGACTATATTTATATTTTCTGTAAATGGAAGATAGACATATAGATTATATTTTTGAACAACACTCTAAATGTTTACTTTTATCTCTAAATGTTTTTTGTATTATTTTTAAATAACTAACTGATTTTGAGAAATGCATAACATATTATTTTAAAAGTAGTTAAATTATTTTCTCTATATTTTTTTTTGTTCGTAAAGCAATGATTACTAATGAACTAAAAAGTCTCTCTATATTTTCTTATGTCTCTCTATACTTTCAATAAATATTACAATTTATTTTTGAATACAGATACATTAAAAATTTAAATATATATATTAAAATGTTTCAATGAAAGAATAAAAAGCAAAATACCATAAAGATGTTCCTCTTGTCATGAAAGAAAATACTACGCGAAAACAAAATAAAAAAAACTGTAGCTTGATTTATTGTAACTTTATATATTTTTCTGTTCATGTTATATATTCATATAAATTTTATAATACATAAAATTACTAATAAAGTTAGGTAAAATAATGACTAAGTAAAATTAATTTAAAAGGCACTGAGATACTGTAAGATACAAGATTAAATAAAAATCATAGTAAAAATTACCATGATTTTTATCATGATGAAAATTATTTTACATTTTGTCTGTATATTGAACAGATGATTGTCGATTTCTTTGTATATGTATCGTGCAATTGTTGAAATCATGCAGTTTCAATTGATAAAGAAAAGTGTGATGCAGAAAGTAAAATCTACAAAAAATACTAAAAGAAATGTGCTCTTTGTTTTCCGTTTCTTGCTTTTAATCTCTTGCCTTTTTCCTTTTTTTGCGACTGTTTTATCGACAATCATGTGTCTTGTCACGTGTCTTTTCAAATTTATTAACTTTTATTTCGAACAGAAATAGAAACAAAGAAACAAGATAATAAACTTTTAGAGTGAATCTCACTCTAAGGAGTGAGATCTCATTTTTAAAGATTGAAAATTAAATTTTAAAGTAAAAACAGACTATGAATACCGACTTAAATTAGGCATTTAGGCTAAATATCGCGACACGTGAAGAATGAAATTCGCGCGTACGGTCACGTGACCTTGTCACTACCGGCAGTACACAACAACGGTCGCGTTTAGCAGACTCAACTGTTGCGGAGCGGATCCGTGTTTCCGTTAGCGCTCGCTATTGGTGTATTCTCCTATATTCTAGAAGAATACACTCCGCCCGCAATAGCTGAGAGTTGAGTCCGCTGAACGCGACCAATGCGTAATTAGCGCGGGTAGTTTTTCACGGACGCCGGTCATGTTGCTTTTTAATTCAAAGTTTCTCGACGAGTACCATTTCGAGTCATTGCGAGGATATTTCATAGAAGAGAGAAATGCGTCACTTGAGATTTATCACTGAAATCTCTCTCTGTCGCTGAGATTTATCACCGAGTAAGGTAAGATTGAAATGAGCACCACTGCGACGCATGTTTACCACGCGTCTGGTATTCGTTTGTGCCGTTTTCATTCATATTATTAATCATCCCGCAATAATATAAGACGTATATCACGCAGCGAGTGACTTTTCTCTAATTATCCAGCAAATTAACGTATCGTAGAACGCTAACCTCTTCTCGTCGTTCCGTGCCGCCGATCGTATCACGGTATCACGGAAATTTTTAGATCGCGGAAAGATATATTTTACGTTGAGATACTTTTACAGTATCGTGAATCGTAGCTCGAAACTCATCTTTCGTTCCTGGCGTTGCTTCAGGACACCAGTTTTAGCCGTTATGTGCGAATTGTGCGCCGCAAAATCATTCCGGAGGAAACCTAACCTATAACAGCATTTGAGGTTATACTTGCGTTGATCCTCCACAGATAGGAAAGACATTTTTCTCTGAATTATTCGTCCACCTTTCAAAGCTTTTCAAGGATTCTACTACAAGTGTTTGCA